TTGCTATTTCTACTTCTTTGTCTGAGAAATGTCTGTTCATTTCAGATGCCCATTTTTGGATTGGGTCTTTAAATTTGGGAGGTCTGATTGTTTTAAGTTCTTTGTAGATTGGAGATAGGCCTTTGTCTGAGGAACAGCAGGTGAAGATTTTTTCCCACTTTGTGGGTTGTCTCTTCACACTGCTGGTGGTTTCTCTTGCTGCACAGAAGCTTTTTAATAAGAAGAGATGCCACTTGTTGATTGTTTGTGCTTTTTCATGGGCAACTGAGGTTCATAAAATCTTTTCCTACACTGATGTCTTCAAGAGTTCTACCTAACTTCTGTTCCACCCGGTTCATCGTTTCTATTTTAATATTTAGATCTTTAATCCATTTCGATTTTAGTTTAGTGCATGGCGAGAGATCTAGGTCTTGTTTTAATTTTTGGCAAGTTGAAACCCAATTTTTCCAGCACCATTTATTAAAGAGTCTATCTTTCCTCCAGTGAGGGTGTTTGGCTCCTTTATTGAAGATGAGATGGCTGAGTGTGTCTGGTGTTGTTTCTGCATCTTCTAGTCTGTTCCACTGGTCCTCAGGTCTGTTTGTTTGCCAGCACCATGCTGTTTTTATCACAGTAGCTTTGTAGTATAGTTTCACATTGGTGATTGTGATACCCCCTGCCATGTCTCTGTTGCCTAGAATTGCTTTTGCTATTCTGGGTCCAAATGAATTATTCCAAATGAATTTTTGGATTGTTTTCTCAAGGACCGTGAAGTATGCTGCTGGGATTTCAATTGGGATTGCATTAAATCTATATAGCAGTTTTGGAAGTATGGCCATTTTCACTTATTGATCCTTCCTACCCAGGAGCAGGGGATGTCTTTCCATTTTCTGATATCTTCAGTCTCTCTTTTCAGAGTGCTATAGATTTCCGAGAAGAGATCTTTGATTTCTTTCGTTAGGTTGATTCCTAGGTATTTCAGTTTTTTGGATGCTATTTTGAAAGGAATTATTTGCCCTATTTCTATCTCAGTGAGTCTGTTATTCATGTAGAGGAGAGCTTTTGATTTTTGTGTGTTGATCTTCTATCCAGCTACTCTACTGAATTTGGTTATTAATTCTAGAAGACTTTTGGTGGCGTTCTTGGAGTCTTCTATATAGAGTATCTTGTCATCTGCAAATAATGACAGTTTGACTTCTTCATTTCCTATCTTTATTCCTTTTATTTCTTTCTCTTATCTACTTGCTGTGGCTAATGTTTCCAAAACTA